CACTACTCGAAATAATAATTCTTAATCATTAATTACGCATTTTTGGTACTTTAATTTACGTATGCGACAAAGTGCTGCGCACCTACTTAATGTCATTTGTTATTTGCTTATTCACGTACATATGTACCTCCGGTCGCCGCCGACATATTAATGGGTATGCGTTTCTGGTGTTTTTTGTTTTCACAACTGTTCCGCAAAAAATAAAAGAAGTTTTTAAAGCTTTGACACAGTTTTTGGGGAATTAAAACTAACAAAGAACAACCTGTGTGACGAAGAAATAAGTGGGGCTTCAGTTGTGCTAAATTTGCCCTAAAAAAAATTAAGCATAGTTGCTGGAATTCTATTTTTTCTATGCTGTTTTTCAACTCAAACCGCTGATAAAATCAATTGCGTTAGTTGAGTATCATTGTAGTAACGCTATTTTTCTCAATTTTGTACAGTCATGCCATAAGTTGTATTATTATGCCACACTAGCGCTGCGACCTAGCTAGCTATGTAGATCTATGTATGTATTATGCTGAGCTTTAGGAAGTCACTCCAAGCGTTGGGTATTTGGATGGAGTTATGTTCCGGATTCTGAATGGAGACGAGATTTTTTTACGAGTATAAGTCGAACAGAGTAATTCTGGCTAAGATATGTAGTTGAAAAATAGTTTGAAAGATTTTGTTTATTCTAGCACGAAAGTTTTACAAAATAAAGTTACCATCCCAATCAAAGCACTGGCATGCGATTGGAGAGATCCGACGTTCGAATGCACGTTTTTTTTTAAATTCATTTTATTTTAAATCTAGATTTTGTTGTTTTACAAAGAAAAGTATTTTTTCTCATTTAAATTTTAGAAATTAATTTTATTTAGTTCTTTTTAATTTTTAGATTATATTTTTTTAAAAAATGTATGAAACTTTGAATAGTTTATTTATTTATTACATGCTGTACATAAAACTTGCATGAATGTATTTTAAACAGCATATTATCTGAAGCGAATTTTCAGTACTTTCTGGTGATATATCTTTAGAAGTACCGGTGTGGACCGGACCAAGCTAATAGTTCTGAAGATGCCTTCAGACTAAAGGCAAAATATCGACTAAAATAAAAGTAAACAAAGCAGAAAAACGTGCAATATTTTATTTATAACTAGTGAACCTGCATGGCGTTAAAACGCCCAAAATTGAATTTCAAAAACTTAAAAGATATTTCAAATGTTAGTCAGACTTATAAGAGATCCGAGTGACACATTTCAACAAAATAGTGCATGTTTTTCATTTAATCGAATTTGAAATCACCCTATACCGATGAAAAAATATCTTAATTAAAAAAATAAAACTGTATCACACATGCTAAAATCTTCTTAAATCTCTTTCGTCTGACATTGTGATACACATGTATTTCAATAAACTGATAAACCAATCCGAATTTGAATGTTTGAACAAATGGCAACCATAAAGGTCAGGAATAAATCCCTTTCAAACCCATTTCGATTTACACCCATCTTTTTAAAATTCATCCACCTTACTGAATAATTTGAATCAGGGGCGGATCCAGCGGGGGGTTTTGGGGGTTAAACTACGTGTCAGTCAGTGGCGGACCCACGGGGGGTGTTTTAATACATAGACGCCATATTATACATACATATGCGCCATATTAAAACACACCCCATGCGTCCGCCACTGACTGACACGTAGTTTAACACCCAAAACACCCGCTGGATCCGACACTGATTTGAATGTAACTTTTTAAACACGTGGCAACTCTCTTCAAACATACAAAATGCTCAACTAAAGATTTCTTAAAACTCTTTCGTTTGACTACGGTGTTTTTATATTCCATATACTTTTTGAGTAACTTAATTAAGTTAGATCTTTCAAACAGGTGGCAGCCCTAACTTAAGAAACGAAGCTTTTCAAAACCATTTCGATTGATACCCATTTTGTAATGATTGATTTATATTTTTAAATAATTGTAATGTCATTTTTTAAAATGTGGCAACTTTTTTAAAAAAATAAAACTTTATTGCATATCTGCAGTCCAAGCCTTTTAATTTGAGACCTCATTTTGGAAAATCAAACGAACGGTGCGGTTGTGATGGCATTGCTTATTAAATAATTTATATTCAATTTTTCTACAAGTGGCAACTCTGTTCTTAAAAATATAACCAGTTTGCACATCTGCAGGCGAAGCGCTTTAATTTGACACCCCATTTTTGAAAATCGACTGAACGAATCCTGAACGAAAAATCCCTTCGCGTATTATATGTATAGATGGGATGCACATCCTTCAATTCAAATCAAGTTTTTCTTGTTTCTGTGACTGACAGAAAAGCCAACCTTAAAAGTTTATGGAAGATTTTTTTTCGAACTTTTGTGCCACCGCATAGTGGTCGGAATCGAGTATCTATCCGGTACAAAACTGTTTTAATAGATTGGCGTTGATGGATTTGTACACCAATTCGTGTCTACTAGTTTATGGGGCCACTGATTACAACTCTTCGGTCAAGTTTCAAAAATCCAATATTTCGGAAAAATTTTTTAAAATAAAAATATGTAATTTAAAAAAATTTATGGAATTCACTCGAAACTGGTTACCCGGGGGTTTTTGTTAGTATTTCGGAGTTTTCATGGTGGCTGATTACTAATCTGATAGCAGGTTTCAAAAATCCAATATGGCGGATCTAATATGGCAGACAAATTAAACAAAATGTATTGATTTCGTTCGAAATTTGTTACTCTGGGGCTTCTGAAAAGTGAAAATAATTGTATGGGTGTCGCAAAAGAGTATGTTTAACATTAAAGCCAACACTTCACAGAATAAGAGGTAATGAATTTCGAGTCGAAATTCAGCGGAACCTTTTTAGTTTTTTTGCTGAGATCGCGTGTTCTATACTGACTTGTGTCGCTGGCACTTGATGTACAATACATGCCTGATCTCTTAGTCGGGGATATATACATTTTTTACTCTCCCAGTAATCCATAAGGTCCGTATCAACATCAATGCGCTTCTCCTTATAGGTGCCTATTTCCATAAATGCATTTCGAACGTAATCTTCGGAAAAAGTGAAAGACAAGTTTAAACTTTTACATTTGACTGAAAAAAGAAAAGGCAATTTTTAACTTTTATTTGTGACCGAAAAAAACAACAGTCATATTTTAACTTTCATTTTTGACCGAAAAAGAAAAAGTCATATTTTATCTTTTATTTTTGACCGAAAAGATATGTCAATTGGTAACTTTTATTTTTGACTGAAAACATAACGGTAAAAAAATAACGATTATTTTTTAACTTTAACTTGATAAAAAGCATAACCGTTACGGTCCCTGAACAAAGCGATTGCTTTTTCTTAAAATTGCATACCTTTTACTTCAATTTTGTTTGAATAAATCGAGTAAAGTGTAAGAAATTTTAAGAAAAAACAATTGCTTATATTTTATTCATACGGCCCATTATTATCGGTGTTAATGCTGGCTCCCAAGTAAACGAAATTCTCTACTTTCTCGAAATTATAACTGTCAACAGTGACGTGGGTGCCAAGACGCGAATGTGCTCACTGTTTGTGTTTGATGACAGGAGATACTTCGACTTGTCTTCGTTTACCACGAGACCCATTCGCTTTGCGTCCTTATCCAACTTGGAAAAGGCAGAACAGACTTCGTGGTTTTTGTTACTGATGATGTTGATGTCATCGGCATAAGCGAGCAATTGCACGCTCTAAGGGTAGCAATGGTTATGGTGGCAACTTTAACGGTGGTATATTTACTTTGATGCCTTGTGCCTCCAAATGACTTAACTTGACGATTTTTAGCAACAACTGGACTCCCGCGCCTCTTGGCGTTTTAAGTTGTGGACCTCGTTGAGGAGGAGATCACTCACAAACACACGTAGCGAAAAATTATATATGTGTTTACGGATAGGTAAAATTTTCAGTATGTTTGGAAGGCGCCACGCCCCTTTTTTGAATAGCCCCAACTTTTCTCCATGAGGATGGGATTGATAGCATATCAAGTTCCAGGACTCTACCACAAATACTTCCAGAGATATGCTGTATGAAAAATTCGATTTGTATATAACGAGATTATTAACAGCCTATAACCAAAAGGTGTCCAAAATTTCAAAAAAAAAAAGAAGCGAGATCACGTCTTCTCTTCATATAATTGGTATAGATGATAAATACACGTAAATATCCTATAACCGATTGCGGCAACTTAAACCCCCTTTCCAACTATGTATATCTATAATACTTATACCGAATTTCAAGCAAATCGGACCATATGTACAATTTTTTCGAATAGATCAGTCCCTGGTCCACCTATCAGAAAAAGAATCCTATAAGTATGTTAAGACGGACAATAAGCAAATCATAAATACAATTTTTCCAAATAGATCGGTCCCTGGTCCACTTACCGAAAAAAGGGATTTTATATGTTAATCTAGGCAAAAACCTACCTACGTACCAAATCAGACCATAAATAACATTTTTTTTAATAGATCGGTCTCTGGTGCAGTTACTGGAAAAAAGTATCTTATATGCTAATCTAGGCAAAAACCTACCTACGTACCAAATTTCAATACAAATCAGACCATAAATAAGACTTTTCCGAATAGATCGGCCCCTGATCCACCTACCGGAAAAAAGTAAATTTTTTTCGCCCTTGACATGGTGGTTGCTGAAAGCTATTTATATACAACATTTCAAGAAAATCGGACCAGCCGTTCGCGAGATTACCTGTTACAAAAAAAGGTACTTGTATTATATAATTATTGTACCTAGAAGATATGTTGGCCAATCAGTCATGCTGTAATTAAATAACGTTATGGGTGGGTGTTGTATTAACGGCCCACTTTAAGCATTTCTCGGTACATACTAAATCTTTACCAGAAAGCTTGCTAAGGTTCTAGCTGAACATTTGAAATATTTCTATCACTTTTCTGTGCAAAAATTTTATTTTTTTTTCATTCGTACGAAAACAATAGATTAATTATTTCTTATTTTTCTTTCTCGTTTCAGCTCAAATTGAAATAATTCCATGCAAAGTCTGTGGTGACAAGTCATCTGGCGTACACTATGGCGTTATAACATGTGAAGGCTGTAAAGGTTTTTTTCGCCGGTCACAAAGTTCAGTGGTGAATTATCAGTGCCCTCGCAATAAACAATGTGTTGTCGACCGTGTTAATCGTAATCGGTGTCAATACTGTAGACTGCAAAAGTGCCTAAAATTGGGAATGAGTCGTGATGGTGAGTGTGTGAATTAATCTTATACTGCAAGACTTTATATTTCATTAAGCAATTTTCTTTTTTACAATTATACAGCTGTAAAATTCGGTAGAATGTCGAAGAAACAGCGTGAAAAAGTGGAAGAGGAGGTGAACTTTCATAAGGCGCAGTTGCAGGCAAATAGGGATGCGGCGCCGGATAGTTCAGTGTTTGATACGCAAACGCCATCGAGTAGTGATCAACTGCATCATAATTATAATGGGTATATTATTTTTGTTTTTATCTTTTTCCTTGTTATATTTCAGTTTACATACATTTAACAAAGTTACTGTATCTTTTACAACTACTCTTATTTTTATCATCATATTCATATTTACGTTTATCAATATTATCTTTGTATTTATCTTTATCTTTATCTTTATCTTTATCTTTATCTTTATCTTTATCTTTATCTTTATCTTTATCTTTATCTTTATCTTTATCTTTATCTTTATCTTTGTCTTAACCTTTATCCATATCTTTATCTTTAACTATATTTTTACCTTTGTCTGTCTGTATTTTTAACTTTATCTTTATGTTTGTCTTTGTTTTTAACTTTATGTTAATCCTTTTTCATCTATCTTTATCTTTCAACTTTGCATTTTGTTTATCTTGGTTTTCAACTTTTTCTCTTTCCATACAAAAATGAATTATCATCCCATTTTCCGCTACTATTTCCAGCTATGGCTACTCAAGCAATGAAGTGAGCTATGGCAGTCCCTACGGCTATTCGACATCGGTGACACCGCAACAGACGATGGCCTACGATATATCAGCGGATTACGTCGACAGCACCACGTACGAGCCGCGTGGCACGATAATGGATCCGGACTACGTCAGTCATGGTAGGAGACAAAAATCACAAAAACCCGTGCCAATGCGCATTTCCATAGACGAATCAGCATTTAATACTCGTATAACCACTTACCACACGCATTACCACTACTACTACTATTTACTACTACTACTCGTACTACTCATCTTAGCCATCATTGTGAAGTTATCCAGTTCAGTTACAAGTTCATGCCGTGAGCCCATCGCGTTTTCAAGTTGTACAGTTTTTGTCAATTCTATTTATTATCGAATCAAAACTTTTATCGTTTTTTTGCTATAATTTCTTTTTTGTCAGCGCCTAGGTTTTGAAGTGAGTGTGTGTGAGATGTAAGTAACTCCGGTGCAGCACTGCACTATGCGCCCATGGACAGTAAATACCTACAAACAATAACTACTTCATTTTGTTTTTGGTTATTTTTAAAACTTAAATTTGTATATTAAATAGCTGGGTGGTGAAGCGTAGGTGGACGCGTAGTCAAAATTTCAAAATTTCATACCAAATTAGGTGACACTCATTTTTCACAACTCATTGGCATACATTCATTATTAGTTATGGGGGTCGCATATTACTTATATGGGGTTAAAAATATACATACATATTTATATTGTAAAATGTTTCGTAATATCGCTGCATCAAATATTCGCTGTTGTCTACAAAAAAAAAACTTAAAAAAAAAATCTCAAAATTCTGGTAAATATTTTGATTGTATATTCCTTGTCAAATTGCTTCTCCTCCCCTCACCAACCAGCTGATGGCGACATCAACGATGTTCTTATCAAAACCTTAGCCGAGGCACACGCAAACACAAGCACCAAACTCGAAGCCGTGCACGATATGTTTCGGAAGTCTCAGGTAAAACCGATGATATATGCACTCAGTCAGCCGTCGGAGTTGAACTCCTACTAATTGAAAAATACTTTTGTTTCTTTGTTTTTTGTTATATGTGTCTTATTATCATTTCGATTACGCTCATAAGGATATTTCGAGGATACTTTACTACAAGAATCTGGGCCAAGAGGAACTGTGGTTGGACTGCGCTGAAAAGCTAACACAAATGATACAAAACATAATCGAATTTGCGAAGCTGATACCCGGATTTATGCGTTTAAGTCAGGATGATCAGGTAAGAAAAATGCGTGTTATATACATACATACATACATATATAATAACAAGTGTTGAAATGTGTTTGATTTAGGAGAAAAAATTTTATATATTGATCTTGGTGATGTGAATGCGAGGCAATAAATTTTACACACACAAAAAAACAATGTATGTATTTGCGAAAATACCGGCAAAATATAGGAAAACTGCGTTTTCATTTTTTCTCTTTGCCGTCAGGATTTTTTTAAAGACTATGGAATTTCAAAAAATTGACTAATTCAATAAATCATATAAAAAATTCAGTGCAATTACAAGTACAGTCAATCTGGCTCTAAAAAAAAATTTCCACACAGAATAAAAATGGTAACATGCTGTTCAGAAAACTATTTTAATCAAAATAAGAAAAGATTTTATTTCTCAATTTGACAGTAAATATTCTTATTTATAAATGTAAAAGTAGAAATATGCAAGGAGTGGTCGCAATTTGTTGAAACTTTACTCCTACAAGGACTACTTCGCAGTGATTTCAAAAATGAAATCGGTACCGGATACCAATTTTGAAAAACCCGGATTAAAAATTTTGAGAAAAGTGGAGTGATCACGCCCTTTTCTTTTATTATGGTTATTTTAAAATTGAAATCACTTTTTTGCACCGGTTACTAACTTTGAAAAATCCGAAATTCGAATACCGGTTACCAATTTCTTAAAAAGCGGAGTGCTCCCAGCCATCTTTTAACTGAAAACAGTTATATTTTGCATGAAGATTTCTCTTTATATTAGCTTGGTAATTATTGAGACACCGCAGTTTCCATTTTTTTTTTTAACTACTATATTATGCGAAGTGGGCGTGGTTATGAATCGAATTCGAAATTTTTCCAACACTTTTCGTAGTAATACCATAGACCATACCTTCATTAATGTTATGAAGAGATTCGTTGCATGATTTTTGAGATTTAAAGAATCCATTAATAGTGGGTGTGGCGAATTACCAATTGTTAATTATTTAATGTGAATAGGCCATAAGAATATTTGTTTAATAACTTGTTAAATTCATTTTTTCTCTTTACACGTTTAAAAAGTGGACCACTCGGCATTTTACGAAATCGGTAATCGCTACTAAAAATTTGGATATTTCAAAATTGGTAACCGGTACAAAAAATCTACTTCATTTTTGAAATAACCATAATAAAATTCAAAAATTTTTAGCTGCATGAGGACGAATAAATATTGAAAATGTGCTTTTAAAATTGTATCATTGAATATCCTTAAAATTTTGCAATATTTATTTTTGAAAAAAAGTATATTCTCGAATTTCGTCTCTTTAACTTTACTAACTTGAAAAAATATAAAAAGAATTAAAAAAAAACATCTGAAGTATGTACCCTTTGACTTGGTACCCATATTTTTATTATACATAACTCTTTAAAAAAATATTCGGCGTGAAAATCTAAAACCACAATTTTACTGTATATGGCCCCTAGTTTCGTTAGCATATTGACTGTTTTGTGTATTTTGAAATGTTTAGGATTTTATCGCACGGTGCTACGTGCAATGCGATTTGATGTTATGTGCCGCGATGTTGTGATCTAAGGAAAATTAATTAGGAATCATATCTTGAGTTGAATAGGGAGGGGTGCATTTATGTATATAACTTTCGATGTGATATGATGTAATCTGAATCGATGTAGCTTCATTTGATGTGATGTGTTTTTATGTGATTTGATGTGATGTGCTGCAATGGAGGTGGTGTGTTAAGATGTGACGTTAGGTACATGACGTCATGTTATTTGCATAAAGTTGTGCGATGTAATGCGATACAATCTAGCCTGGTTTAATGTGATATGGAGGATGTGATGGGATGAATGAGATTTTAACTGATGTGATGTACCGGACATTAATTGTGCGATGCGATAATTTCAAAATAAGAATCAATGTAATGTGAATTGGGAGTCTGTGAATGTGATGCGATCTTGTATTATGCGTTGCCGGGTTAAGTGATCTGACCTAGTCGAATGCTTTGTATTTATACTCTAGATATTCACCACGGCGTCGTAAGTGTCGCGTTGTTGTATGTAGTAAAAGCTCAAATAAATGTTAAGTGGATTTGAAACTACAACAAACTGTTTTTTTTAACACTATGAATATTCATAATATGACTTTTATGTTACGTTTCGAACCCCCTTAATATATTTTTAGCCGCTGAAAGTTTACGAAATGAAAAAATGCGACACATACGACACCACCCCAATGGTTCATCGCTTACATTTTACAAATACTTATCTTGCAAATCTTTTTATGCACTTACAGATTCTGCTACTGAAAACTGGATCATTCGAACTAGCCATCGTGCGTATGTCGCGATTGCTTGATCTCTCCCAGAATGCGGTACTCTATGGTGACGTGATGCTGCCACAGGAAGCATTCTACACATCCGATTCGGACGAGATGCGTCTGGTATCGCGAATCTTTCAAACGGCTAAATCGATAGCTGAACTGAAACTGACTGAAACAGAGTTGGCACTTTATCAAAGTTTAGTGCTACTTTGGCCAGGTAAAACAATACGTAAATGCTCAAATTAATTTACTGTTGCTATAAATTCTAACGGTTTTGCCTTTAATTATTACAGAGCGAAATGGCGTACGCGGGAATACAGAAATCCAGAGGCTTTTCAATTTAAGCATGAATGCAATAAGACAGGAGCTTGAAGCGAACCATGCGCCCTTAAAGGGCGATGTTACTGTTTTGGATACATTGTTAAACAATATACCGAATTTCCGGTAAGTGCGCGAATCTCTGCTCATTTATATGAGTACAAATAGTTTGGAAATTTCCTTTGATTTATATTTATTTGTTTTTACAGCGATATATCCATAATGCATATGGAAGCACTGAGCAAATTTAAGCAACAACATCCGAATGTCGTCTTTCCGGCGCTATACAAAGAACTGTTCTCAATAGATTCGCCACAGGATCTCACATAACATCAAGAAAATTATGTGGAGACTACCAACGCAATCGATGCGCCGGACACGTTGGATGCGTTGACGTAGAAGAAAAAAAGTTGCGTAGATGAAAAGGGCGATGGCAAGTAATACAAGCATTGCATGCAATTGGTGGCTGCTGCAATAAAAATATACATACATACATATGTTGTGAATGCGTGTGCGTACAATTAGTAGTTGCGCGAAAACAACAACAACCAAAACTGTGCAAACAGTAACAACAATAGGAGAAACGTTTCCCATAAAAACAGCAATTTATATGCAGAAGATCCTAAAGCAGCCAGTCAAATAAGCAGCAGGCGTCCGAATTTCTTTTTTTTTTCGGAAGTTAAAGTAACAAACAAAAAGTTTATTCTCAGTTCATTCACTATTTAATAGAAAAAAAAGCAGGAAAAACAACACTGTACTAAAAACCATAAAAATAGTAGATCGTAAAAAGAACAAAATTAAACATTTATAATATTCATTAATTTCAAGCCACATTACAGAGAATAACAAAAGCAAACAGCAAAGAAAACAAAAAAACAAAAATTAAGCAGCAAATTAAGTTTAAGAATATTTATACAGAATTTAAAATAGAAGCAGAAAATTATATACTAGTTATATAGACAAACCAAACCAGAAACAGGCCGAATGCACACACACACACACTAACACATGTACACAAAAACACTTCAGCAAAGCACTAGACAACCACAATAAGCGTCGATAAACATACATACATACATACACAGTATATGCACACGAAAAATCCAATATAAAACAGCATAAAACCGCAATAACTGCATTACGTTATATCATAATGTTAAACACAGCAAAAAAAATAACTAAACAAACATAACTAAAAATATTACAAAATTCATACTAAGTAAATACGCGCAGCAGAAACGCAGGAGAAAAATACATTAAAACAGCATTTAAGCCAAGAAAATAGGCAAAGAATTAAGTAAGACAAACTCAAAAACTACGCATACGCCTACATTGTACTACCACTTATAGTCAAACACACACATGCATATACATACATACATGCGCCCAGAAACAATAACCAAGAACTAAACTCCGAAATACGGTAATATACAATGCAGAATTTAAAAATCGTTGCCAATCTCACGCAAACTCATCCTCTAATAAAACTTCTAAAAACAACTACATACACAAGTACTATAACTAGATGCCTGGCGCAATCGAGGAGCAGTTAGAAATCGATTTACATACTTAGTTCATTTTGAACCCAGCACAAATTTTTATCTTTCAAAAGCAAACAAGCGAAAAAATACGATTTTTAAATAAAAAAAAAATATATATATTAAAAAAATCCTGCGAATATTATTGAAAAGACTTTGCAAAACAAACATGCACACGTAAACACACACACACACACACATAAACGCGTAATTTAATGCGCTCCCTCCCAAAGACTCCGTGGTTGTATCGAGCGAAAGTAAAGGTGAAGAATTGTTGGAAGAGACTTATTAGAGATGTAGTACTTATGTATGTACACTTGTGCAAGGAACTACATACATACATATTTACGCTATGAGTGCAAATTGAAAATCATTTGAGCGCCTTCGCCTCAATTTCAAAGGCGTAAGCTATTTTTAGGCGCAATTTTTCAATGCATTAAAGGTAATTTAGTCAATTTTTGTGGCAAAAATTATTTATGACCAAACAAGTAGATTATTTAAAAAAAAAAACTTCAAATTTTTATTGATAAGCATGTAATTTCTCACATTTGTTGCATAAAAATATTAACCCTTGACGACCGAGAGGCCTAAAGGGGTCTCTTATTTGTAATGTTATTGAAAAAGTTTGAGTGCTTTTTTTAACAGTTATAACAATTATTTATACAGAAACATATTGCCCAATTATATTAATCATTATTGTTATTCAGCTTTGTACCACGATCTTCTTTTTTTTTGGAAAAATTTGAATTAAAAACCTGAAAGGTCTGATTTTTTAACAAATTTGTTTGAAAAGTTAAAACGACCAGCCTTTGTGGCAACAAATTTGTAAACAGTCTTTTGTTTCTGCTCTTTATTGAGTTCTCTGCTCCAAATGGTAAATATGAAAATACATACTTCACTACTCAAGGTATCAAGAACACCTACACAAGCTCTTAATATTAAATTGGCGAATTAAACTCAAAACTCTTATTTTTTATACAGTTTGGCCAAATACGGGTCAACAATTTAAAACCCTTTTCAAATTTAATTTTTAAGAAAACAATAGTAATTACTTAAAGGTTATGTCAGAAGTGCATACGAATTTTTCCCCCAAAAAATTAAAAAAAAAAATACCAGTTATATAAAAACATGTTTACTTTTTTTGTTTTCTATATTTATTTATACTTTTATTAAATTAAATATGATTGTTCGGAAATAGCTAAAAAATACAAAACACAAAATCGTTTCCAGGCTTTTGTTTTTTTACAGAATCTTAATTTGATGTGAAATTTTCTGTTTCAAATACCAAGGAAAAATTACTTTGTTTTGCCACCAAAACTGATAAAATTACCTTTAGTAGTATTTAACTTTTGTTATAACTGAATGCTTTCTTTATTTTTTGTTTGTTTTGTTATTGTTCATTTTAAGCGTTGTTTCTGTTATATGTTACTCTGCTAATTTTATACGAGTATGTATGCATGTTTAGATTTCTGCTTAATTTCAAAATGCTAGATATATTTTAAAATTAAATGTTAATGAAAATCAGCACACATAATTTTCGTATTGTTCACAAGCTGGAATGTGCTTGGGTGTTGGGCAAAACGTTGTGCAAAATGCAGTGCACAACGCAAAGGGATTTCAATGTTTTTGTTAGTATTTAATAAGTAACGTTTTATGTATGCATGTAGGTATGTATATAAAGTTCATTTACTGAAAGTCTGTCCCAACTCAAAAGAACGGCGTTTTTTAAGGAACGCAGCAGAATTTCTCATTATATCAGGCTAACCACTTTTATAGTTACTTTTTGCGCTTTCAAAAAAATTAAAAGTATATGAATCTACGGCGAAATAAAAGATAGCATACATATGTATACATATTAGATGTATAACCGGTTTATTCGAAAATAAAAATCCGGTTTATTCGATATTTTAAAAATCACGATTTCAAAAAAACCGCACAAAAAATTGGTAAAAATCCGATTTAGAAAACCCTAGTCAATCACCCTCGTATACACTGACAGTTAAAAAAAATGGAGGATTATGCATCCCTCATTGCTAAAGGAATGCATATTATAAGGTCCCCGTAAGAGCAAAGGGCAGGCCAAAACAAAAAAGGGATTCAGCAAGCTAATTACTCTCACACGGGTAAGCTTAATACTTAGATCAAGTATATTGGCGAGTTAATGTCCAGATATAATCATTCCAGGCAGCAAGCTGACATGAACACCATACGAATTACGAATACGAATTAGCTCAGCCAACACGTTTCGTTGTAGGAAGCGATGCACAGAGTTCCAACTTCATACAAGCTGTAGGAAAAAGTAGTAAACGTGAACCGATTTTGGTGAAACTTGACATAGTAGGAGATCCGACGAGGGCACGACCTTTACCCCCATCTGTTTAATGGATGAAATCTACTTTGTATGTACTTTACCATGTTAGGAAATATTTCGCGAGTGGGTTGGCTGAAAAAATCCTGGCCAGGATACTTTTAATTAAATATTCAAAAACCTTTTTTTTAATTTTGCACTCGTTTGTTTAATGAACAAGTTACGTACTTATATACATATACCAATCGAAAGCATAAAGCCTTTAGGATGTGTTTAACAGATGAGGGAAAACTACTAGGATTATCTACCTGTTTCTAGCTGCCAACCAGTTAGATAGGCCAGGAAGAAATAGACAACCCAACGTGTTCACATAATTTGTTCATTAAACGAATGAGTAAAAAATTAAAAAAATAATAGTTTTTAAATATTTAATTAAAAATATCCTGGCCAAGAACCTACTCGTGAAATATTTATTAACACGTTAAATTTCATACAAAATAGATTTCATCGTGCCCTTGTCGGATCTTAGACTAACATGTGCTCTGTTTTTTTTTTTAGAAATAGGCAATTATTAAATGTATTAAAATCCACCATTGTAGGCGAAAATGTTAAATTTAGTCTGATTTCGATGAAATTTAGTTTTTACTCTCGCCATTGTTAGAAAAACCGGCGCTGAATCTTTTCAGTTTTATTTGGGCTTTAGGTCTAAACGAGATATTGTTATGAGTTTGCAGCGCACATCCTCAATTGTATTTATCTATCTAGATTTTCGTCATTATACTCACTTCCGTTTGCGAAGGTGTAAAGCCATCACTGAATCCGAATAGTTACGAACATAGCTTACACTTTAAATACATCCGTTTCTAGGAACTCAGTGATAACATTTTCGTAATAGACTCGTTTATGGTTAAGTGGTGGTACCATTCGACTAGCTCTTGTGCGCTTTTAGAAATCAAATAAAATTATTTTTATTTATATAGAAAACCTTTTACACCATGCCAATCCCATATCTAATACAGTATTGCTTAAAAATTCTGTGCTTTTTCCAAGCTATAGTGGGTTCACATAACGAAAAACGTTCATGAAAGCAGATTGCAAGCCCGGATTAAAATTAAAAAATCTAAACATTTAATTACAACTCTCATTTAACTGCATTAAATTGGAAATCGCTCCCACTGAAGGCTTTAAATCTCTGTTCAGTAGCCCTCGAACGATTGCTTCAAAGGCAACTTTGCAAAACTAAGCACAAGCATTACCCAATTGTGTTCATAAATATAATGAAAATCTTTGTCTAATAGAAGGAAAAAATATTTTATGTTGATTTTGTGTGACTATTATTATTTTAAAATTAAAATAAACAGCAAGCTGAGATATTTTACACCAGCTTATAGTGTTCAACGAATACATATTGCAAAATATACGTAAAATGTTTTGTAATTGTTTTGTTTTTGCTGTTTTTTTTTTTGTTAACTTTCATGTGAATTTTAAGCTAATATTTTTTTAAGCTTTGCATTTTGTTATACTTCATGTATATATAGTATATGTACACGGACATGTACCTTGAATGTTTTTTTCGAATGCTGCATGTCTAAATTATTTTTTACGACATCGGTAATTTATACACAAAAAAAAAATAGGTATGTATACGATTTTATACCACATTTGTGTTCAGCTTGTGTAGAGTTTTGCAGGAGACTTTTGCTGGATTTCTGATAGAAAATCGATTTTGATGACTACAAAAGAAATAACATAAAATCATAAAATAGGGAATCTTCGAGCACAGACATGGACGATTAGTAAATTTTGTAGCAATTTTGATAACAAAGCTTAAGTTAGCAAAAAAAAAAGATTTAGTAAGCTGAAGTGTGTTTTAAGTGTGTTTAACAGCCGGGTTTCCATTTCCCCAAATTTTAACGACAAAGTTACGTTATTAATTACGTATTAATTCTTACCTGTGGGAAATTTTTTCAATTACACAAAATGTTCGTCATTTTAATGTTTAGTGGAAATACGGTCTTAGACTCTGATTTGTGGCTTACTATTGCAACAATAACTATGTACATCACGAAGGTTATTTAAAAATTGTTTTTTAATCAAATATGGAATAATGCGATCTCTTTGCGTTGCCTGTATATACGCTATTTTGAATGATAAGCCAGAAATTGTGCAGCACAAATTTTAGATTTCTGTTATCTATAGACTTTGAAAAAAAAAACTGTATAGCTTTTCCTTAGCTAATAAGCATTACATTGCCTTGTTGTGCAATTCATGGGCTCTTAAGCACTGAACGTTTTAGAATAAGTGCATGTACTTGAATGGGGTTTTTTTTTTATTAAATATATAATTT